TGGTGTTTACTGGGCTAATTTCAATTTGATTTGCGATCCCCGTGGCTTATGTAATAAAGATACGAGCCGTTTTGAGGGACGGCGACGGCGATAAATCACACGAAATATCGCAACGTACGTTCGCGGATATGTGTTTCAAGAGAGGCAACGGTCGCCCCCGATTACGTTCGTGTCGCAGTTCACGATGACGACGTTCGCGTTTTTCTCTCCTCCTTTTTTTTCCTCGTCTCTCATTGCATCACGTGCTGTCCAAGTGTCGCTCGAGGCTTTGTGTTCGCGTGCTTGCGATCGCGATCGACGGCAGGAGGAGACGGCCGCCGCGAGAGCTTCTCATCATCTCTCACGTCGAAAAGCTTCATCGGAAAGTCGTTTGAAGCGGCGGTTACGCAGTCGCACAAAGGTGGCGGCTTAACTACAAGGTCGCCACTTAATCTAATATGCGATATTCGAGCCACCGTGTCCCCGGGTCCGGTTCCCCGAGTTATTAGAGATAACGGCAGCGTTACACACACGTCGTCCGCATTCCTGTCTTGCGAGTTATATTCGGTATACCTATATCGGCGAATGATTCGTCAAAATCCTCCTTATCACGCGACTTCCTCGTCTTATCTGATCGCAGATCCTAATCGCGTGCTATCGCAACGGGAAGCGCGTCTCGAGACGTTCCTGGGAATTCCTGATTGCACCGCAGCTTTCCTCCTTTACTCCAAAGATACCGATAGTACTTCCCGGACACGGGCGTTGGGTTCTCCATATCTGGAATATTTTTCGATAGAACGCGTTAGTCTGGTTCCGTCTCGGTCTCGTAGAGACACGTCAAAACAAATACATGTCATTCTACTTGTCAGATTCTTACGTAAAAGTAGACTATTCGCAACAGTAAAAAAAGTAGACTCTTACAATTAACAAAGTGGATTCGAGGCTATTAAATAGCAGTTTAAAACGTGTGACAAGACTCGAATCTCGAATGTTCTAGGAATTTTCTTCTCCAATATCGTAATTCTTATCTTACACTTTATCATTTCCCGTGTGATTTCGGTCTCGCGCCGTATAATATAACTCCATCTGAGTCTTCCGATTTTAATTGGATACTGACGATACTGTTACTGATCATCGACTGCGTTTCAGAATAAATTAAAGTTTACAGCGGAGAACAAACTTATATATGTATAGTTATGTTCGTTTAGCAATCATGAGCATGCTGTCATTCCGTTCTTCGTCATCGGAACGTGGTGCTCATCCTCTAAAATGGATATGAGCTGAGTACTTAGCTGTTTGACGCTAAACTGAAAGTGCACGGGAAAGGACATGCGTCAAACCACGATTGGATATTAAAAGGAACACAAATAACGCTCTAACGAGTGCCAGACAATAGACAGATAAGCCAACATAAACGCGGAAGAGACGTTGCTTTACCGTCAGCTTCTCATATCAGACCGACTTTTATTTTAAATAATTGCATGCCTTTTTCCATCCCGGGAAACTCGACGTTAATTATTAAATGAGTCACAACAATTAAGTGATTTCTCCTGGTTTCCCTATACGGATTTCTCTTGATCAACAATCGGGAGACTAAATTCGGCTAAATAAATTCATTTATTCGTTCGCATCAGAGACGGAGTATATATCCGCTCTCCAAGTATTTTTTTTTCCTCTGTCGGCGTCGCGTGTCTCGCGCGTCTTCTAAATTCTCCCCGCGAGGACAATGTCAAGTATAAACCGAAGGTGCCGCGTTCGAGAATCGGATCCAAGCTCAAGTCGAAAGGTCAAAGTAGACATGCTCGTCGTGACTCCTCAACGTACACACGCTGTGGGAAGATCGATCGCTGTCGGTGGCATGCGCGCGCGCGCGTATGCATGCACACCTGCAGCACGCATACGTATGATTAATGCTGGGAACCGGTATCGACACACAAGTGTGTGTTTGTGTGTGGGCGAGCGCTTGTGGATGAGGGACATTGAGGGACAGCTGATTTTAGCACCGCTACTCCGCGCGCGCGCGTGCGCTCGCGCGCGTGACGCGTATGCTCGTCTTGTTCTCTTTGTCTTTCTGTCTCCTTCTCTCTCTCGCAGATGTATAAATACACCCCGCTTTTGACGTTACTTCATTGAACTCGGATCTGGCGCGGATCCTCCGCAACGCGGCCGTAAAGCGGGCCGTAAGCCAGGGTTACGCAAGCGATGCGCCCCGTTGACCTCCTTCCTCGGGGGAGAATTGACCTTGCGATTCTCGCTCTTGACGAAGGGGCAAAGCGCAAGCTCCGACGCTCCGCTCCGCTCCGCTCCGCTCCGCTTCGCTTCGCTTCGCTTCGCTTCGCTTCGCTTCGCGGCGAAACCGTCTTGAAGTTAGGTGCCGTATACCGCGCGATCGCCGTGAACGCAGCCGAGGATCCTCGCACGGCGAAGGAATCTCGCGCAACTTCATGCGGGTCACGTGCCTGCGATCAGCCGCGACTTATAAATCGGCGATGAGATATGATAAGAATTCTAGATCTCACGCGCTCTTTTGGAGCCTCACATTAAATGAAATGGCTAACGAGATTTAGTTTATTAGAGATTTAATTGATCTGTGGCTCATCTATATAATACGGCATCCGAATAAAGTTTCAATCATTATGATAATGTAATTGTCTTTTATAATAATCTAATGAATTTTACGGTCTATATTGTGCTTTAAATTGATTAGGATTCCGTTGAACTTCCCGCTTTAATAATTCTGCAATACTACAACGCAACCTGCGATAATTTTTAACCGTCTTATTTACCAATATGGATTAACTTTAATCTCGGCTCAACTTACTTTTTATCTTTTTCAAATTTCTTAAAATTCGAAAAAAGATTAAACTTAATCTGCGCTGGTAAAAATGGATACTAGAACAATACTCATAGTCGAAGTTTATACTTATTTAAAATTGTTTTAAGTTCATCGTCAGATACTATGCAGATTATTTCATTGATTCTAAAGATAAACTTAAAACGATTTTAAATATAAGATCCGACTATGAATACCGTTATTCTTATTTGATTGACATATTCGCATAGCCCGTTTTTATTTTAAAACCATCTTGAAAAATAGTGTCTTAAAATGTTAATACGGCTCTATAATTAGTTAAGACCGGTTCTACACAATCAGTAGTATGTCAAAGTCGTATGTCGGAACGCAGCCGATGGTCCAATGAGAAAATTTCTCTTTCGAAAACGAATTTTCCTTATTGAAGCATCGGGTTACGTTCAGACATCCGACTTTGAAATACTATTTACTGATTGTACTGATTGAACCGGCCCTAAAATAAAGATTGCACTTAAGACAGTCTTCCCAGATAGCACAGCTG